CATCCATCCATCCATCCATCCATCCATCCATCCATCCATCCATCCATCCATCCATCCATCCATCTATCCATCCATATATATATATATATATTATATCCGTACATGTGTCTGTAATTGGGGTTAATCCATAGAAACGGGAATTTAGATCGACCGCCTAATGGTATACACTTGGATAATTTAGATACGTATGCACACACTTCTGAGCCATCTTTCAGTGGATGACATAAGCTCCTTACTCCCTCCCACTGAGATGTCCCGGGGGTGGGGGTTGGGGGAGGAGGGGATGAAGGCGGAGGTTAATGCACCCTTACCAGACGACCACCCACCGAACCCCCCCCCCGTCCAACCTTCACCTCCCACCTCCCCCTCCTCCCCTCCCCTTTCCCCTCCCCGGTCGCATAGCTCTCTGCATAACCTTTGTTGGAGAGAGAAACCCCTACCACCTCCACCTTCCCCGGTCGTATAGCTAGCTATCTGTTTAACAATTGTTGGAGTGAGTCACCGTCTACCACCTTCCCCTTCCCCTCGCCCCCCCCGGGGCATCCGCATGGTAGAGAGACCGGAGATGACCTAGTTAATTGTGTTTGTCTAGTATCACCTTATTTCTGAGAAGAAGAAGATTAGGTGTTGTAGCGGCAGTAGCGGCAGCGGTAGTAGCAGCAGCAGCAGTAGTAGTAGCAGCAGCAGTAGTAGCACTACCACCACTACCACCACTACCACCACTGCCAGCAGTAGCAGCAGTAGCACTACCACCACTACCACCACTACCACCACTACCAGCAGTAGCAGCAGTAGCACTACCACCACTACCAGCAGCAGCAGTAGCATCACCACTACCAGCAGCAGCAGTAGCACCACCACCAGCAGCAGCAGCACCACCACCACTACCAACAGCAGCAGCAGTAGCAGTAGCAGTAGCATCCCCACTACCAGCAGTAGCAGACTAGCAGCAGTAGCAGCACCACCACCACTACCAACAGTAGCAGCAGTAGCAGTAGCATCCCCTCTACCAACAGTAGCAGCAGTAGCAGCAGTCGCAGCGCTAGTGACAGCGGCTAGGGTGGGTGGGTGTTTGGTGGGAGGGGGTCACGCGTGGGTGGGTGGGTGTTTGGTGGGAGGGGGTCACGCGTGGGTAGCAGGGTAGCGCCCGTGTCCTGGCTGCCTCCGTGTGACCGACGTGTGACCCTCGCTACACGCCCTGGATGTCTGTCTGTCTGTCCCCGCTCTCCAGCGATGTGGAGATGAGGATGATGATGATGATGATGATGATGATGATGATGATGGTAGTCCTTGTCACGCCGCACCAAATTCACCTTTCATAGGTGTATGTGTGTGTGGGCAGGTGTGTGTGTGTGCGTGTGTGTGTATGTGTGTGTGT